GTTTTTTTTTTGAGAAATTTTAGCTATGGATATATGGATGATTGATTGGCAAGTACCAGATCCGACGATACTAAACGTGCTGGGTTATCTAACTGCAATCACGAGGCATTCCACGATCCTATCGAAAATCGTTTCTGGTCATGTGTAACAATTAAACATTGATTTTCCGATCGGTGGGTCGCGAATTGTGATACGTCGCAGTTGTTTGTGTATCACGTAGAGGAAAACTTTGTTGAGAGAAAAGGGATATATTTTTCATATTTCAGTTCAATATATAAAATATAGAGTAGAAATGAAAATATTTATATGTATATCAATGAATAGAATTAATCGAATTTAATAAATAAATCATAAAATATTTATAGCGTATCATAAAATAAATAAACATGTTTTAATATTACATGATTGATTGATTGATGATTGAAAAATATTGTTCGTTGTTTTTTCAAAGAGCAATATTTAAAAATGTAATAATTAAAAAATATCTCGACAAATATAAAATATTGACATTTGTAAATATTTAATATAAATATCCTTTATCCTTTGTTAAACAAAAGAGACAGTAAAATATTATTTAAACACATAAAGCTCGTAAGGAATGAAATGTGCGTACATTTAATATACTAACTCTTTCATGTCATTTCTTCGTAATAAAGGCGAGGAAGAGCTCGACCACTCAGATAGATTAATTTTGATAATTTCTTTTACAAAAATATTCTTTTACAGAAATATACAATTTTCTGCTTTATTTTACGGGATATTATATAACATAATAATTCTATCGCATAAAATTTAATTCTGTATTAATGCTAGCTTGTAAACTTGTTTTTTAAGTAAAACGAAATATATTTTTTTCGTATAACTTCGCAATTTTTTTGAAGTATCAAGAAATGAAATCTTGCATAAATGAACCATTATTTGCTGCACATTCCTTATTCATTCATAAATTTTACAGAGATTATGCTTTATGATCCTAGCTTTTTGAATTGCATTTTTTATTTACTTTTGTTTCTATTTCTCTTTTTCTGTAAAGGTTGAATAGATTTAATTCTTGCGCAGAAAATGTAAAAGATGAAAAGATGTAAAAATGAAGAGAGATACTCTTACTGCGATGATAATCAGCACCGTGTCGCACCTGGCCAGTCCAATCAGTAGATAATTGATAGACGATTTCATTTGCGGCCGCGACAGGATAATCATCGAGATTGCGTTGCCGAAGATCCTGAAGAGACCGATCAGGTTGATGAATATGCCGTAAACAATGAAGTCAGACTGGCCGTTGGTGTTGATCTCCTGATTGCACTCGAGCGGTCTAACGTTACTAACGTTGCTGAAGTTCTGCGCAAGCTCGTCAACATTGTAATAACCAGAGTTGGGAACGTTACTCTATAAAAGTAACGCGTTACCGTTACCGTTACTTTTTGTAAAAAGTATCTCGTTACCGTTACTCGTTACTGATTTTAAAAAGTAACGCGTTACCGTTACCGTTACTTAGAAAGTAATGATTCGTTACCTTTTCGTTACTTTTTGTTTTTTGTAATGCTAAAATAAGCTATTAGATTATAAAATTATTTAATAATCAATATTAAATGTAATAATCGTTACAATTAAAAACTCTAAACTAGTCTCCATATAGCAAGCGTTTTTTACATTAAACTTATTTAATGATTCTAATTTTCTATGTTAATATCTTTACTTTTTAGTACATCTTTATAGAAATTTAAATTGTAATTTACAAATTCCAATTTTGTCGAAAATTTTTATCAAACATTGTTTTTAAACATTGATAATATTATTAAGAGTGTATCCCAATATTTACTGCCAGTACTGAAAAATCTATAGTTTACGTTACTATAGATTTTCAGTACTGGTAGTGACTATCAGAATGCAGCCTATGATAGAAGGCCACAAAATATTTTTCAAAAAATAAGTTTAAAATATATTGTGAAATAATATATTATAAAGTAAGTAATAATAATAAATATTTTATATAATTGCATTTATTGCACGTAACCTTTAACTTGATTATATTATATATAATGCATCTTTTATTAAATATAACATATAACATTATATAATTCATCGTATTTGCGCATTGAAGATAACTAAATTCTCCGTTCTAGTTTTTTATAATTCTGAAACAAGACAAACATTTCGTTATTAAAATATAAGGAATAAAATATATTGGGCTCTCAAATATAATTTCTTTGCAACATATACAATAACTGATATAATAATTCACATAATAGCATAAAATACCTTAAACTATATATCTTTCATAAAATAAAAATTATTATCATACATCTCATCGAATATTTTTATTAACTTTTAGAAGTTGCTGTTCCATTGTGTCATCATTAAGATGACCTCTTTGTGGTGTAAGTACCAAACCTCCACAACTAAATAATCGTTCTACTGATGCACTACTTGGAAGTGGTGTGTTGTATTTAATAAAGGCTTTTTTAAGTTTTAAATAATTGTTTAAAATTTCAACATTACAGTTGTTTGAGTTTAAAAATTCTTGCAATTCTTCTTCTTCAGAATGTTTTTTTGGATGAAAATTAAAAAAATCATCATCAGGATCAACAGCTTGTTGATTAACATTTGGAGAATTTTCTCTAGATTGAATTCCAAATAAGTCTTGCAAATAACTTGCAGCAATTTTTTTTTTATCTCCGGTTAACCAATTTAATTTGAATTTCGGGTGCAAAAAAGCTGCTATTATTAATTCTTTCTTCTGGCGTAGTGTATAAAATCTAAAATTAGTTACAGCATAAAATGTAGATAATATTATTTCTTTTACTAAATATTTTATTATTACTATGTTTATTTTTATTTTGTTATTAGATTTAATGGATATGTATTTATGATTATTTGTTATTTATATAGTGTTATCTATTATAAATTTATTTATTGTTATTTATTTTATTAGAGTTTTTGAATTATCTCATACCTTTTATGTAATCCTTGCTGAATTGCAGTAAGCAGTGAATGGCATTCTGTAAGTCTTTCCGTGTTTAATTTTTCTAATTTTTCTTCTACAGTATTTAAAACTGGTAATAAGTACCCCGTACATTCCATTTTCACTTTGTAAAATATCCAGTGCGCGTGCCAGAGGTTCCATTACCTTAGTCAAATAAAAATATTAAAATATAAAATTTACATTTTGTATTAGATATTTATACACACAAAAAATATATAAAGTAAATTTATATAAATAATAATTAATCAAAGGAAAAAATAATAATTAACTTTGTTAAATTGATATGCTATATTTTTTGTTTACCTGGCAATAATCTCCTAAGAATTTAATATCTTTATCAGTCAGTCTCTGCAAATTACAGTAATCAAGACATTGGTTTATAACTTTTGAATTATGTTTTAGAAACTTTACGAGTTGAACTATGGAATCAAACGTAGAATTCCATCTATAAAATAAGAAATTATTGAATTAGGAAAGTAGGTTTATTATTTAAAAAATAACTTTTATATTTATAAGTGTAGATGCGACAAAAAATTTTCTTACCTTGTAATAACAGGAGTTTTCAAGTATACGCCACATATCTCTTTTATTCTGTCAGCTACCTGCGTAGACTGATTTTGTTTGTTCCATAGTTTCGTCAACTTAGCGAATACTGCTCTGTACTGTTTTTTATATAATACATCATTTTCTAAAGCCTTTTCTGAATCTTTTACAGCAATTAGATTTAATAAATGACTAACACATCTATGATGTGCAGGAAGAGTGATCACATCTTCTGTATCCATCAAATTTTCTTCTTCATTCGTAATTAATAAATCATTTAAATTATGAAATTCTACATAGGATTCTTCAGCATCATCTTTTTCAAAAGTCCTAAAGAACAAACAATATTAATTTCTATTAGCATGTTAAAACAAAAATGTTTACTATAAATATATTAATATATATCAAATATTGCAAGAAAAAATGTTAAAAGATATATATTGAGTAAAATTATATATAAATAAAATTGTAAAATATTACCGAAATGCTTTTACAAAGTTTGATGCACTGTCAGTCGTTGTACAGCAAACTTTATTTTGAATATGATATTCTAAGAAGATGGAATTGATAACTTTAGCTAAAATATCATAAGTGTGCCTGGCTTTTATTCGGCGACAAGCCAATGCAGCTGATTCTCTTCTTAAAGTTGTAGAATCAATCCAATGAACTGTTATTCCTAAGTAGCTCCTGCAACAACATTTAAATGCGTTAATTAATGAAAAATTAAAAAGTAAAACTACGCATTTTTTAACGTATTATATAAATATAAAATTTTCATTAATTAAATATAATTAAATATGAAAAAAAATTTTATATTATTAACCTTTTCATTTTACTCCATAGATCTGCTGTAGTTGATACTACTTCTACATCAGTTAATTTTTTTATAAGAGCCGTTTTTATTGCACAAAATGTTTCTTGAAGTTTTTCTTTTACGGTTTTTCTAGATATTATTCGAATAGATGATGGCAGTCCGCTTCTCACTAAGTCGATAAATGCTGGATTGTCTACAATCGAGAGGGGCTGAAGATCTTCGATAATAAATCGTAATATAGCTTTACTGCAAACTTTTCAGAGCCCCATCTTTCCAATTTTTGCTGTTTGTTATAAGTATTAAACGTATCCTCATTTGATCGCTTTACAAGTTTACGTTTTGCGTTTTCTCCATTTTCTAAATATTGTGGATGTTTTGCCTAAAAATTTATAATATTGGATGATTGCATAAGTTCGTGCCCGATTTTCATAGATGGCATTAAGTTACTGCATGGCGGAGTTCTATTGTTTGAAGATGAAATTGTTGGACAAAGATTTTAAGATAGAAATACGATATTTTTGACGAATTTGATAAAAGTGCGATTACATAATTTGCGATGCGTATGTTTCTATTTGTGTGTATAGGGTATTCATTTTTAAAAATTTCCAACTTGTTTATTTTGTGACTGACTAATCTTTTCAAAAAATACCAAAAGGTCAATTTTTTTTCAAGGGAGACGTATGAGTGCAATAAATTCAATACGGTGCCACTTTATCCCCTTCGTCGGGGTAACATCCCTTTAAAAATCTGAAATGTTAATACGGGCAAAGTGGCATACCCTGTATATTATATAAGTACACATACGCTCATAAAGACGTAAAAGTACTTGTACACGTGTAAAGCAAATTAATTGAATTGTATTCTCGCACGACTGACCTTTGGTGACATTCATATCTGTTTGAAATGATCCTGCGGTAGCATATACACGATACATGTGTATATTGGTAATTGAGTTATATTTGTCTAATTTCCGCATCGCCGATCTAGTATGCAATTACGGTTTCCCGTATTCCTGATTTCAATTTGCGATCATGATGTTTGTCTCGCCAGCAACGGTTGTAATCGTCTGCATGATTTTTAACGCTTACAGATCTAAAGAAGAAAAAAGATCCTTCTTAATTGCGGTATTATTAAATGTCACGTCGATATCAATGTTTCATGTCAAGATATAAAGAAAAAATTTTCGGATATTTATTTAATTTTAATCCATCTTCGCAATGTATTTAATACTTTCTATTTTAAAATTTTTTCATATAATTTGGCACAACATATCTTAAGGAGTGTTAGACATTTTTTTACTTTTAAATAAAATTAAAATATATTATTGAACTACGTTTCTCTCGATTTTACGCAAAGCAAAAAGATAAAACTTTTATTTTTCTATAAAAATAAAATTTAACATGCGCGATTGTTACTTTTTGCGAAACTCTAGGGAATCTTACATAAATATCTTTTGATATCTTTAATGCGAATTGGAATCACGAAGATCAATCGCGAATATCGCCCGTTGTACGGATCTCGCGTTTTTGATGTTGGATACTAATTTGGGACACTATGGGGATTCAAATAAATTGCCAGCTATAAAATCGCCCCATGCTGTTCGTGTGTCACTTAAAGTCGAGAACTAATTTGTTTCGGCTGATCTATTTCTCGCCGTGCGGCTGTCGGTCAATTTATTTTTAAACAGTTCCCCCAGTAGATGTGTCGTCGGATGCGAGAAAGTTTCGCGAACCGGTGTTTTTCACTCTTTTTGGACTCGGATGGATACTTTCTTTGCTTTTCTATTAAATAATATAAATATTGAATATAATTAAATAATATAAATATTGAATATAATTAAAGAAATTAAGAAATTCTACTTACATTTATATGCTTCTTTAAATTCGCCGATGAGCTTTTATTAGAATGTATGATTTTTCTGCCCACGCAGAATTTGCAAGAAAATGCAAAGTTGTTTTCATTACTAAAAGTAGGTTGAAAAGTAAACACTTCGGAGAATGCTGGCCATGGCATTTTTTTGTTTAACGGCGTACTCGCTTTTTCACTTATTACTTCACCCGAGGACTTACTGTCCTTTTCATTGATTTCATTCGATGTTGTACTCATGTTTTCACATATTATTTCACAACTATTCTTTATGTTTATAACGCAAATTACAACCAAAAGAGTAAAAGACACAATGTATGCACAAAGAAATAGCGCGGTATGCAAGAAACAAATGACTGATAAGAAGTACATGATATCGCGTGCTAATGTTCTCTTGTTTGAACCTGTTTGAACGCTACCAACAAGAACAATCACTGCCAACCGTATGCAAAGCCAATCATCAGCTTTTCAACAGTCATCGATCATATAAAATCGAGACATTGGCCGCACGTGCTATGAACGCTTACGGCGTCTTATCATATGACGATGACTGTGGTCGGGAAGACGCTAGAGATACTTCGAAGCATTGCTTCAACCAATCAGAATAAAGAAATTTTTACTCTTTTTGTCCTGATTGGTCAATCAAACACTTCGAAGCATTTGTAGCGTTTTCTCGACCGCAGCCATTGTCTTCCAACGCTTTTATATCGAAATAATTTTATCCAATCAGGAATAATGCGCGCGATCAGCGAGCGACCAGCGCGCAATCTATTGAATAGATATAAAGATAATAGGGAACCAAAAAGTAACAATAAAAGTAACGGCTAATTCGTTACCGTTACTGTAAAAATGTAACGACGTTACCGTTACCATTACAAACAGAAAAAAGTAACGGTCGTTACCGAAAAAAAGTAACTGTAACGGTAACGACGTTACAAGTAACGCGTTACTTCCCAACCCTGGTAATAACCGAAAGCGACCGTCGTCGTCGAGCTCATTTCCATCGTTCAGTTCCGCGATTCTCTACCACTTCGTCCCGGTTTTGCACTGCCCTTCAATCTCGCTGCTTTTTCACGTTACCATTTTCTCGCAAGCTCTTTGCCCGTCTCTGTTTATCCTTTTCTTCTGCTTGTTTTAATTTTGGTCGTATCTTCGCGCTCCTCAAATTTAACAACTGCAAATCATTTGTATAATTTTTGCTTTAATTAGTTCTTCGTTATTGCGTTGTTTTAAGTTAATTTGATTCTTAAATACTTTGTTGGAACATTGCCATTTCTCCGTTAATATGTACAGATATTCCGTTAAGATTTTAAGAAGTATTGATTGATAACAATATGCTAATAGGTCGACTATATTTTGCAAGTCTAATAAATTATACAAAATAAAGAAAAAATTACGAGATTATTTTTTCATAAAAATATGACATTTGATAAAAAAATATACTTTATAAATTATAAAATTTATCTATTATATATATGTTCCAAACTTGTAGAATATTTCCTGAAAAATACAGGCATGATTTGAAGTTACGCTAAGGCGGGCCATTCGTTTCACAGATTACTTATGACTTTTGAAATTTGTTTTTCTTTCCATGCGTGTATACGAGCTTCACCATCTACATGCATCTGTTAACATTTCTTCCAAATGACTGTAATTTTATCGGAATATTGAGAAAAGACATTCGCTCGTCTCTCGCAGGCATGTTTAAAAGTTTAAAATCGATATAGCCTGTAACAAGCCGCTTTCGCGAGGCGGGCGACGGATAACTCGGTCGGGATCCTGGGTTCGGGAAAGCGGTATCGAGACACAAATGCGTTTGGTTGTTTGGTAAAAATGTAATTTATTGCGTGTAAATGTGTGTTGGTACAGCGTGAGTGTATGTATAGGTGTGCGAGGTGTGTGAGCGTATGTGCGCGCGAGACGAGGGGCGAGTGTGAGAACGGACAATGTATGTATGCGCGTACGGTTAAAGTATAGCTATGAGTATGTACAATGTGTGTGTGCGGTTACGCAATGTCGGTGTGCGGGTACGTATAACGTATAGATGCGAGTATGTACAAGGTGTGTGTGCGGTTTCGCAATGCCGGTATGCGGGTACGTATAAAGTATAGATGCGAGTATGTACAATGTGTGTGTGCGGTTACGCAATGTCGGTGTGCGAGTACGTATAGAGTATAGATGCGAGTATGTACAATGTGTGTGTGCGCGTACGGATACAGTATAGCTGTGAGTATATAATGCCGGAGGTGCATGCAATGCACCGCGATTGCGCGCAGCGCTATTCGCGTTTTCGGGTGTTCGGTCGCGTATCGATTATTAATCGCGCACGTAAATCCGGCAGGAGCCGTTAGCTGTCGGGTGGTCCTTTACGGCCGCGTCGGTGGGCGCAGGTCGGCCCTCGGCGCGGGATTTAGCGCTCCCGTACTAATGGCGCGTCCCGATGTCGTAATGGCGGCGTACGCCCGTTCCCATTTGCCTCGTTTTAATCGGAGTCGGAAGGATCGCTCTCGGAGATGCCGCAAACTCTCGGCGGAGGCTGAGTACACCCAACCCCGTTTTCTCTCTCTCTGAGCGGTTAATGATCTAGGCGGTTTCCAGGCGTCTTACAGACTCTGGCGGTGCGGAAGATCAGATCTCGATATTCAGAAACGCGCTCTATTTATACCGGTTTTCGGCGCGCGCGTCTGCGTAATTCGCCTATTGTTCTAACGGTATCTGGTTTATCGTTGAACCGGCGCGCGCGACTCGGGTATTTTCGGTAACGGTCGGGCGGTTACCCGAGCGCGTCGTCGGCTCTCGATGTTTTCGCGCGCCTAACGGCGGTTAGATGTTTACGCGTTTCTGATGTTATTTAAAAATGGGCGCTCAGCGCCTCCGCATTTGCCCGACCGGTGTTCGTCGGGCGGCGGACTTCCGGCGGATCGGCGGCCGGGTACGGTACAGTAACGATGGGGGGAATGCATCGTTACATCTTTACAAAAGCATAAAAAACTTTATGAAAAGAGGAATTATCTTTCACCTTTGTTATCAGATATCGATTCGACGATTCGCGTTCGCGTTATCTTTCAAAGTCAAAAATTCCTCGAATGAATTCGGGTATCATAACGACGTCAAACCGTTGTACTCAATCTATATATTTCGCTCTGTAAATTATCTTTGATCGTGTTTTGCAGAGAAAATCAGATCGGCTTTATCGTCGTCTTGTAGAGAGTTCAGCGTAGATGCTTTTTCGATGTATCGCTGTTTTACGACGGATCACGAGCCGCTTTGCCATCCGAATCCTGTGTCGCAGTAGTTTCGCCGATGGTAATCTGTAAACTAAAAAGAAAGAAGAAAAAATGCACGTTTATATCTTCTTAAGGAATAAAAAGTGGAACTGTGTTTATACTCCAATCAAATAAAAGAAACATAAATTATAGGTCCAAAATTATTAGAATCATGAGTAAAAAATTGAAAAATTAATATTATTTTGTCAAATTAAAGAGTGACCCCAAAATCAGTGGTTTTTTCGCCTATTTTTGGTCCCGCGATATTGGAACTGAATTGTGTGTTAAATGATACCTTATGACAAGATATCAATCACAAAAAATTTTTAAGTTGAGGTGAGAATTGATTCCAGAGATATGGGAGGTCAAAGTTGTCAAAATTCATTAACTCGTCAGCCCGTACGCTTTAAAGCACGAATTTTTCTTTTAGTCCGATAATTTAAAATTTCGTACCCGGAGGTTTTGCTAGATGCTGACAATGAATTTGAAGTCAGATTTGTAAAATTCATAATGGCCGATTTAATATGGCGGACCATGTATTTAATAAATGTTTTAATTTCTTTACTTGTTAAGGAAATCGATCCACATGTATGTGCGAAAACACATACTAAGATTTAGTTTCCTTGATTTTGTTCCTTGGAAATGGTTATGGATATATTACATATATCAGGATTAGGTACATGTATCCCATCACGGAAAAAAAAAATTAGCTGCCGTAGCTAAAAACTGCGTGTAGTAACTAGATTTCAGTTGTAATATATGGACAGCGAACATCTTAGCTGTGA